CCCTCTTTGCCCTGTGCCAGGCTCTGACACATACCCTTTTGGAGGCATTTTAATTTGGAAGTGACTTATCCCCCCAGCCTCATGGGTTGGAAGACTTAATTCCCAGAGGTGGGGTTGAGGAACTTTCTGGAGGCAGAGCCTAGCTGAAAGAAGTGGATTGCTGATGAGGGAGTGAAGGAGCCTTATTTCCTACCCTATTTCTAGTGAAAAATGTAGCTTCTGGTCCACCAAGATGCAAGGAGTCACACCCATAAGTCTCTGCTTCCATGAACGCCACTGTGCCTTCCTATCTTCTCACAGAGCATCCCGAGCCGTGAGACATCCTCCTCCCTCCATTGCTTCTGTTGGGTATTTTGTCACAGCAATGAGGAAAGTAATACAGAGGGCTTCTGACTTGGTATCCAAACTCAGCTTCTACCTGTTGGCCTCTGGCAAACCCATGTCTCTGGAATGTTGGGATATTTGGGGATGAAGTGTTTAGTCCTTCTCTATCTGTGATCCCATGAAGAGTTCTGGGATCTGCACAGGTCCTTGGTGCTGGATAACTAAATTAAAGGCACTTTTTAATTTCCTTTTTAAGACAAGGTCCTATGTAGCTCAGGCTGGCCTTGACCTGAGGATGACCTTGACCAAACTTCCAGTCTTTCCCTAGCTTCCACATGCTGGGATTGCAGGCGTGTAACTTCATACCCAGGTTGTATGGTGCTGACAGTCAAACCCAGGGCTTTGTGTATGATGGTAAGCACAGTACCAGCTGAGCTCTACCCCCATTAAAGCATGTCTCCCCGGTAGAAGGTTTTCAGTTCTACCCACAATCAAAGGGTTCGCAGTGAGAGAGAGCCACTCTTCAGACACATCTCATGGAAATGGCTGAGACTCAGGGTGTACTGTAAGGGCCCATTGACTACATAGGTCTTGTGTGGAAGACATGAGTCATTGTCACCTCCACCCCAAGCTGTTGCCTAACATCCAATAACAAACGGCCTGTGATGTCCTTAGAGCAAAACCAAAAGCCCAGAAATGCCTGGAGCAGACTTGGGGTTCCACTCCCTACTTTCACTCCTGAAGTTCAATTGCTTGTTAGAATCTGATCTGTTGTCCCTCTCCATGAACTAGATGATGTTTGAGTTCAGCTTCCTGCTCTTATGAACAAGACTTGTGATGGTCAGATGAGTTTCATTTCTCTAAGACTGCAATCGGACTCTCTTCTAATTGAACAGTTAGCAAGTGTACACAAGAGTCTCTCTGACTCGTGCCTGGCTTCCTTGTGGTGACTGGAAGCACAGTGCGAGCTGATGGCACAGAACTCAGGAAGCACATGTGGCCTGATGTGGCTAGCTCCTCAAGTTCCCTCTGTGGTAGAGATTGAGCTTTATTTTCAGTTATGACACCTGTGTTCATTTCTTTCCATGGTATTTACCATCTAAAAACACCATGTATACAGATGCTCAAGGATGTGTGTGTGTGTGTGTGTGTGTGTGTGTGTGTGTGTGTGTGTGTGTGTGTCTCGGGTGTTTGATGAGATAGTAATGCTTATTGTTGAATGTATATCTCCGGTAGATACGAGTATCAAAGTGCCGGATGGCTTTCTCCAAGTTGGGCTACATTCTCACAACCACAGAGCGTGTCTCCAGGGAGCAGTAAGGAATGAAGGTCATTAATTCACTCTCCTCCATTCTCCAGTTGCCTTCTCCAACTTGTCTTTTGCAGTAGGTGCCTTAAGGGCTTTCCTGAGCATAGGAGATTCTGTGGTCCTGTGTCCTCATTACAATTCCAGAAGCACTCCACTGGATTGGGCAAGCACGTTGCAAATTCCCCTTTGGTCTCCTGAAGCCTTCTCTCTGACAGACAGGAATTTACTCTACTGTAAACCTAAGAGTCCCAATTTAGACAGACACGATGGATTAGGCAGACGGCATCATTGACCCAGTTCCACTTGGTTAGGCTTTCCAATTAAGGAGGCTGTTACTGTGAGTGAGACCTCACCAATATGCAGTCATACCTTGAATCCTCAGGACCCAGCTGGTTAGGGAGAGTCTCACATTTCCAGTGTGCACCCAGAGAGGAGAGGGAAGTGTGGTTGGCATGAGAACAGCCTAGTGCTAATGATGCAGGCCCTTGTGAGTGCTTCATCCTCTTCCTGGCCAGTTAATTAAGATGCTAAATAAGGACCCTTTGTGCTCCCTCTCCCAGAAGCTTTTGAAATAAACCTTGGACTCCTGACTGTGTGTGACAGCGTCTGTGATTTTGAAACTCCAGATAAAGAGTAGATGCTGTGCTGTGTTAAGGGACCAGTCACTTGGTGTCATCCACATAGTTGGCCAAGATTTTCCTTGGCTTTCCAAGAAAGGTTTTTCCCAGTGAAGTTGTTCTTCGGAGTTCAGGATGGCATTCCCTCTTTCTTCCCTGTCTTGGGATTCTGAGCAATGAAGCATAAGCCCCACACAATAGCCAAATGGGCCGTGAAGCACGACTTAATTAGTCTGGGCATTCACCCAATGCCCCGTGCAGCACTAGCTAGGATTTGGCTTTGGAGAAGGTGGCTAATTTTGAGACTGAGCTACAGCTTCTTCTGTCCGGACTTAAATCTTGATGAATATGGGCAGAGGGACAGTTAGAATAGATAAGCAGGCTCAGGCTGATGGTGGCATGGAAAAGGAGCTGTGTGCTCTCACAGTGTGAGTCAAACAGGGTCTGCTACACAGAGTCTGCTGCCATCCACAGGATCTGTTGCTGGAGGAGTGAACTGGGTCCTGCCCTGTGTGGCTGCTCAGCAGGGAGCCAGGCTCAGCTCTCCAGCATTGCACATCATTGATCATACAAGTAATGCATGTGCAGCTAGAGGCGCCTCTGTAAGGTTAGGTGGAATAGTGAGGCTGGGTCCCCACCCTAAGTAAATCAATAAACATTGAGTTCTGGTGGGTCATAGCTGAATGCTATCCTGGGAAAAGGGCAGGAGAGGCAACGCTGGGATGGCCTGAACTGTTTCTCTAAGACCCCCTCATCAGTTTCTTGTCGGTCAGTTTGCAGTGTGGCAGAGTGACAGAAAACTGTCCCCTAGTGTGTTCCTGAGTGCGAGGACTAACTGTGCCCAGCTAGTGTGAAAACCAGAGTGAGTGAGGTGTCTTCCTTGGCAATGTCCCTGAGCTGTGCCAGGGAAGTGCTGGGGCTTGGACTCAAAACCTGGAATTGGGGCAAGACAAATTCTTCACCTTCAAGAAACGTCTCGAGGTCAAAATGTGCCTGAGACTATACCTCAAATGTGCCACGAGGAAAATAATTGCCAAACAGGGATCAAGAAAGCAAGTGGGGTGGTTGGCAGTGTGTTCCTGTAATCCTGGTAAGAGAATGACCATGGGTTTGAGTTTAGCCTGGGCTACATAGCAAGTATCAGGCTACAAAGAAAGACCTTGTGTCAGAAAAATAATACAAAAATTGTTTAAGGGAAGCAAGTGGAATTAGGCCTGATGATGCAAGACTGTGGGCCCAGCAGTTAGGAAACTGAGGCAAGAGGAATACAAGTTCATGGCCAACCTGGATTACAGGGAGTTCCAGCAGGCTAGCATAAGCAATTTTCTGAGACCATACCTCAAAATTCAAAGAGAGGGGTGGTGAAATGATGAGGCCCTATGTTTAGTTTAATCCTCTCTCTCTCTCTCTCTCCATCCCCCCCCTCTCCATCCCCCCCCTCTCTCTCTCAGAAAACAAGTAGCCGTTTCTTTATTCATAATGCTTAAAGAAGGGTAGCCTGGTGCCAATTTGCATGGCTTCCTAGAAGCCTATATTAGAAAATCTGCTTTGACAGACCCAAGCTTGGAATGGGATTTCTACACAGGGCCTTAAAAGCATGGCCATTCTCTGTCGAGGGAGCCAAAAGTGATTTTCCCAGAATCATGAACACATATGATGGTTAAGTTCCGAGCAGACATGATGTAGGCAAAAATAGCCTTTATGTGCTGGATTTCCTGTTTTCCTCGGAAACCACTGGAGGAAGGAATGCCATCACCTCCTATTAGTCCTTGCCTCCTCCATCTGTCCCTCCCCCAACCCAGAATTCATGCTTAGTGACCCCAGACTTTACCACCCAGCATCCCCAGTCAATTGGCTTTTGTCAACACTGAGTGAATGGGATGTTTCTCTGGCCTGAAAAGATCTTTCCTGGACTGCTGGAATGTGCTACTCACACAGGACTCAGCTCCTCCTTTTCTGTCTCTTTCTCACGTCTTTCAGTCTTGCAAGATTAGACGTAGTCTCACAATCTTGCTATGAACCAGATCTTTGTATTTATGTCTAATTCTCTTATGAACCCAAGTCTCTTTCACATGGGGGTGGGGTGGGCACTGAACACACTGGAGATGTATGGGAAAGGTGCTTTTTCTTTTCCATGTGTGTATACTATTTGTGTGTGTGTGTGTGTGTGTGTGTACATGTGTGTGTACACATTCTTAGGCATACCTTGTAGGTACACGGTGCATGTGCATGTTGATACAAATGTGTGGGTGTCAGAGGACAATCTCAAACATCATTCCTCAGGAGCCACCCACCCTTTTTTGTGAAGGGTCTCTCACTGGCCAAAAAGCACCAAGTAGGTTAGGCTGACTGGCAGTGAACCCTGGGGATCTGCCTGTTGCTGTGCCCAGCTCTAAGATTGGAAGTGCACACCCCCTTCCTAGCTTTTTATACCAGTGCTCTAACAGGGACCTCACACTTGTGGAGCAAGCACTGTACCAACTGAGCCTCCTCTCACCCCCTTCTTCTTAGTGCCTCATTATCTTCTTATGGACAATCTGTTCTCCCATTGCTTAGCTATGGAAAGGAGTGCTGCGATTCAGCAGGGGGCAGACTGGCTCAGGTTCTGGCATCATCAAGAGAATGGAGAAGACAGAGTCTGCCTGCGGGCCCCACCCAACTGGGATATCAGACTGGGTTGAAAGCTATGTTCAGGTTGGAAACTCCCCTCATCTTACCATTTATGAGTGTTTTCTCCTTTTTCCCCACAGGATCCACACCCAAGTCCACTGGTTACCCTGGAGACCCAGGTGAGTGCCTCTCAAGGTCCTGTGACCAGTGCTTTGTGGCAGTCTCTGTGTAGACTCAGAAGGGACAGACAGGCATATCACCACGATGCCCTATTGCTCCATTTGTGTGATTTGGGTGTGTGGTGTGTACAGCCAGGTGCAACCATGCTGGCTGATTGTGCATACATGTGTAGAATTCTGCATACATGCACGTATTCACAGGCAGGTCACTGAAGACATCCCCCACCCAGTGACCCCAAGAGAGTGACTGCAAAGGAGAGCAGAGACAGAGGAATGTCTGGCCATAGATGGTCCTATTCCAGGGCTCTGGACTTGACAGACGCTGTCCTTGGTGGTTGGTGCACAATACTACTGGAAATGGTGGCCGTCCTGCTAGACTCGTTCAGTGCTGCAAGGGAGACTGGGGTCCCTCTTGGGATTCTTAGTTTCGTTAACAGAGAGAATTTAAGAATGGACTCAAATAGAAGCTTGGAAACAATTTATAGAGTTTAAAAGAAAGCCCTCAGGAAGACAAGCTGGGAAGCTTGGTAGCTGTCCTGAGGAGAGAAACAGAAGAGAGACATGCCATCTGAGTTAAGACAGCATAGACATCAGCTGAGTGGAAGACAAGCCGTCACACAGTGGGGAGAGTGAGGGCTTTGGACCAAGAGTGCAAAAAAGAAAAACAAAGTACCAGAGAAAGTGTTTGGGCTCCCATTGACACCTGAGAGAAAGAGGCGGGGCAGAAGACAGAGGGAAGTCACATAGTTCTGAGTCCTGACTGAGAAAATTGGGCAGACCCAAAGGAACTGCATGGTGACTTGTAGGGACTGCACTAAGGGGCAAAAAATCTGGGAAGAAAAAAGTCCATTATCTCTTTAAAGGGTTAATTATTCTTCCTATCACTTTAGCATGGCTTAAGGTGACTTGCCTTTCAGAAGGGTTGTCTCTTGGCCAGGTCATTGGCCTTCCCAAGTGGATTAACTCTTAAGGGATCAGACAATGACAGGTCTCCACTCAGAGACAGAGTCCAGTCTTTTGACTGGCAGGTAACACCTTTCCCTTAATGGGCCTTCAATGATACTGCAATAAGGCAGGAAGTTGCACTTTCTGTCTGCTTGGGTACTGGAACATTCTGAATGATCTCAATAGCAATGGTGTTTCTGTGTGGGGCTGATGACCCATGGGTCATGTCTTCTTTGTGGGTACCTGCCCCAGAGCCACTGAGATCCAGGTAGAATTCAGTTCTGTGTCTTCTAGCCTTGTGGCATTGGTGAGGTTGTCATTCCTTCTCCATCTAGAAAATGTCACCTGGCAGAGTCCTAGTGAGGTTCACAGGAAATAATCAGAACATCAGAGGTCCATGGGGAGCTTGTATAAGCGCTTATACCACAGTACTGCAGACTTTCCTACTACCATCGAAGCTGAGATATGTCTGAATTAGTGGCCTCCTTAGCTTGATGGCTTGATTAGATATCGAAGAGAAAAGGAAGACAGGCCGGACCACCTTTGGAGCCCCAGAAAGAGCACTTTCCAGGGGTCAGACACAGTAAAACATATTGAACACTTCATGGATGAGTAACAGCACTTTGGGGGACTTCTGCTGCATGCTGGTAAATGCCACCTGCCTTCCCCTGCCTTCCCTCAGCCCTGGATCCTAACCACTCAGCAGCATCTCTGCTTGAGTCTTCCCAATGAGACCTAAGAGAGTCACAAACCCACCTTGCTTCAAAGTGGCCTGACTGTTTCTCTGTGCTTGTCTGTCCTCCTGTCCCTAGGTGTAAACCAGTATAGATGCCCTAGGGAGGAGCAGGCCCCAGGGATGGCAGAACAGGGCAGATGGTGCATCTCTCAGCAGGAGAAAGATCTCTTGACTTCTCCTGCTTTTGCTCATTCTTCACACACCCCTTTAGACTGGGCATAGAGTAAATTCACTCATTGTCTCTGTGAGTGAATTTTATCTATTGAATTAAGTACCTAATAGTTTGTTTTTTCCTTAACAGAATTCACTGGACTCTAAAACCATACTAAGCCAGTAGTTCTCAACCTGGGCATAATTTTAATGTTTAGGGAATATTTGCAAAGGTTGTGAAGACACTTAGGGTTGTCTCATACAGGGGCACCAGTTTATCCCTTGGTGATGGGGTTGAGGCTCATTAATACGTAAGCAGCCAGTATATCACAAGCTTCAGGCAAATGAGAGGCTTTGTCTTAGGAAAAAAACAAGTGAAAAACAAAAACAAAAAAACACTGGGTGGTGGTGGCTCATGCCTTTAATCCCAGCACTTGGGAAGCAGAGGCAGGCTAATCTCAGTGAGTTCTAGGCCAACCTGGTCTAAAGGCACCAAGGAATAGTATCTGAGGTTGACATATCGCTTCCACATGAGAAGTAATTATTTCCCACAATTGGAAAGATCCCATCCAAGGTTCCAGTGAGGTCAAAGTTTAAAGACATTGTATCATCAGTACTAGCAGTGAAATCACAACTTTAAAGAGTTATGTCTGTGTATATGCAGATATGAATATATATCTATACACATACACACACACATATATATATATACATATATATGGATATTTGTGTTATATTGAGTAAATTCTAAATTACAAAAATAAAATTAAAGCACTCCTTTGGGTATCCTCCACAACCATTTCTGTGAATTCCCAGATGTTATGTTTCCCACTTTGGAAAGTATCTGCCTCCCTGTCTACTCTGGATGTCAAGATAACTCCCAGGGTGGGTTGTGAGGTAGAATGTGGAACGATAACTCTCCTCTCTTTACTCAACCCTTCCCCAGAAGGCAACATCTTCTGCTCAAGAAAGCTGTGACAAGCAGTCCGTGTCCAGAGGCCAAGTCTTCTCCCTTACGCTTGGCCGTCTCATCATTCCCTTTGCTCTGGACTTTAACCAGTCAGCTCCTCAGAACCTCTGTGGGAAGAATGGCAGGTGCCCATGGCTTTGGAAAGCATGCCACGAAGGGGCAGAGCCCCTACATAGTGGCCACTATTAAGGTTCTGTGAGCTCCAGGGACCCGAGTCTCAGTGTTGTACAACATCAAGCACACACCTCTGGGGAAGGGTTCTGTTAGTCCTCAGCAATGCCCCCATTGGTCTCATCTGGTGCACAGTCTTTGGGTGGTGGGAGATGTAGGATGCTGTCTTTATGACTTCAGACTTTTCATGTTAGAGGAGCATTGTAGCGGGTGGGAAGAGATAACATCACTTGCTAAAGGCCTTGCTCTAGAGCCCACATAAGGAAAATAAATAGGGACATTCCAGTGCTCCTGTAATCCCAGAACTTGGAAGGCAGAGATAGGTGGGTCCCTGGGGCTCATTGGCCAGCCAACATATACTACTTGATGAGCTCCAGACCAATGAGACCCTCTCAAGTTGACCACTGGCCTCTACACATATACACACACACAGCATTTGAACCCCAAAAAAGTACAAATATTTTTTGTGACTTGCCCCAAGGCCATATGTGACTTGTACTGGGCCTCAGCCCATCATCACAAGATATATAATGGGATTCTGCCAAGCTGCCTTCCATGAAGCAGGTCAGGCATGAAGAATAAGCTAGGTTTTCTGTTAAAAAACAAAACAAAACAATGTGCCATAAGCAAGGTGGCAGGTGTGAAAGTCTTGGAAGAACTCATCCTGCAGAGGCAGCATTTATATGAATTCTGAGCCCTGGCTAGGTTCTCTTTTCCCCTCATAATGCCTTTTCTGCTCTCAGTGGCATTGTCTGCTGTATCTTAGAGTCCAGGACCCTAAGTGTGTGTATTGGACACCACAATGAACCATGTCCTTGCATCACACATGTAGAATATGACTTTGCTGACAGTTCAGGTTGAACAGGATCTCAGGTCACCAATATAACCACTTACTTCCTGCATCCCACATTCCTTGATAATAATTACAGAAGTCCTCACCCATGACCTGGTATATCTCTCTTCACACAGTTATGTGGTATTGGGGGAGATGTGTCAGCTGGTCATTGAGGGTCATCTTATGCTCTCTGCCATCAGCATAGTGGAACTTTGCATCTACTGGTAGTAGTAGGATTCTCTGCTTAATAGTCAGATTAATATCATGAAGTCCAAGTAATGTCCAAGTAATTGGTGTCATATTTCTCTGTAGCACATTGCTCCTGTAGATGTCTCAAGTAAACTCTGCTTGGCAGTGATGACCACTGATCTGGTCTCTGGATAGACGTACCTGGGAACCAGATGACTTAGGAATAAAAAAGTAAAACAGCAAAAAACCTGAAATGACTTTAAATTTGGTTAGTGGTCTGGAATCATTATTGTCATTCATATTACTATTCACACTATTACTAGATTGAGTTTCCATATGAGGCACTTAAGGGTCTTAAAAGTCAGGTAGCTTGCCCAAGGTCCCACAGAAGGGACATTGCAGTGGTTGAGTGTGAGACTCAAAGTCATATGACATCAGAATCTTTTCTTGCAGGCTCTGTTTTATTAGGTTAGAGAATAAAATTGCCATGATCAGTAGAAAGATTTGCTAATGCTTAGACAAAGCTAGACATACCATTTCTGGTGTTTATAAACCACTGTCTGTGGGTATACTTAGATGGGGGTGGGTGGGTATATTGGTGATAAAGAGCAGGCAGATAGTGTCTTAGTTACTATTCTATGCTATGAATAGACACTGTGACTAAGGCACCTTAGACAACAAAGGATTTTAACCTTCCTAATGCTGTGACCCTTTAGTACAATCTCTCATGTTGTAGTGACCCCCAAGCATAAAATTATTTTGTTGCTATTTCATAACTGTATTTTTGTTACTGTTATGAGTCATAATGTAAATATCTGATATGCAGGATATCTGATATACAACTACCATGAAAGAGACATTCAACCCTCAAAGGGGTCACAGCCCACAGGTTGAGAACCACTACAAGTCTAGACCAACTTAACTGATAGTAGTCATGGGTTAAGAACTGCTGTTATAGAAGAGTTTGTTTGGGTCTTACAGTTTCAGAGAACGAGTTTATAACC